TAATTAATTAATTAAATTAAATTTAGGGCATGCTAAAATTGCAAAGAATGAGACAAGTCACAAGAACAATTTAATTGAAAATCTTATTTTGTTTGACATTTTAACATGGAACCCAATGATGATTTCTTTAGACTTTCTTTTTCATTTATATTATTTTTTTTTATTTTCATAGGATATTGAAAAAAGATGTTTATAATCTCAAAAAGAAAATGAACCCACTTCATGTTTCTACAAATTGGGAAATCATAAAGCATGGCGCCAAAATTTTGTTGGACCTGTCGTCACGGTCACAAAATTAAACTTAAATACCGTAGTTAGCGGTAAGCAAGGTCGAATCCACAGAGCAAGACTAACGATCTAATGTATATTTGAGTTAACGAAAGAGAAATTGGCAAAATGATTGATTAAAACTAAGGAAACTAATTACTTACAGGAAATTAAAAGGATTAAATAAATTGCTAACTAAAACACAATATTAAAAGTGTTGCCGCTACGGGTTCGGTTTGACTCAAGACCAACTCTCACAATTCCTCTCCTCGCTTTTCAATTTCCTAATCCTACAAGGCTAGGCAAATCAATAGAATGGCTTCCGGCAAGCTAGGTATAATCTATCTTGTCTCCCCGTCGTCTTAGTTACAGATTGATTGGTTAAAGACTATCATCGACTAACCGAAAAATGCTAAACCCTTAAACACCACTAGTTGGTACAACGCTAATAAGTACAACCTATCAACCTGTATCATCCAATCAACTAATTACATAATAAATGCATTCCTAGTAGAAATGATATTAAACGCTACTACAACTTGATTGCAATCAGTGTCGAAGCAATTTAAAGTCATAATCAATATTCAATAATCTCAAACCGACATTCAATTATGCGAAAAGTTATATACCAATAAACATTCTCAATGGACACTATCAATTCAACACATCGAGCATTAGAATAATATTAAAGCATCGCAAACAAACTGAAACGAAAACAAATATAATTTGAATACAAGAAACTTAACCAAATATCCAACATTCGGGCTCATCCAACTAGTCGAGAGCTGATGAGGAGATCAATGGAGTCAATCTTGATCTGGCCTACACTGTAACAGACAACCAGGAACTCAGCCGCTCATGGTGGTGATGACGGAGGCTGAAACGGTGGAAACGGAGTTAATCATGGCGGAGAGGAGGTAACCGATAGCGATATGATGCGAAGAAGGGGTGAAAACGACCCACGGACAGCCCGGAATACGAACAGCCGCACTCGTCAGAAAACGTTAATTTTCCGACGGGTCTTCCAAAAAACGGTGACAGAAATGGGATCCGAAGGTACCGATGGAAAGCTCTGGTGATGGGGAGTTCAGATCAGGTCCTGGGGAGGTGAGAAGTCGCCAGAAATAAGCAGGATCTAGGCTGGAAGATGAAGAGGCGCGGCGGCAAAATCGCGGATTCCGACGGTTTTTGCGGTGGCTGAAGCTTGGAAATGCTAGATCCGGCCATGGGGAATGAAGATCAAGTCTTGGGGAGTTGAAACGTCACCGGAAAACGAGATGAAGGGTCGCTGGAGCTTGATCGGAGAAGGTGAAGAGTTTTGGTGGGCGATAGCCCCTGATCTGCGAACTTTCACTGTTGTTTTATACAAAATTTGGCAAATATCCATTTGGTCCCTACATGATTGAAACATGACAAAATCAGCCCTTGAAACATGACATTTTACCCCCTAAACAGCATAAACGAGACAAAATCACCCTTAATCCATAAACTACAACCTAATATCAACTCATATACTTTCCAAAATCATTCAAAACACGTTAAATTCATAAGAAAAATATTAGGGAACGATTTTCGTGAATAAATTCATAAATTCTTTAATTGTCTTAATATACTTCAATTTAATCACACATGAGGTATTTTTATCACCAAAATAGAGTCACTTTCATGACTCTAACACACTTATATAATTATATTTCATGTAATAACAAAATTTTTTTACACCCACTCTTGTTTCCTAATAAATAATGATTTTATATAATGTGATGCATTGACCTAATTAAATAATGAAATAAGTGGTTTCCTTCACGTAATTTTAGCTTCAGCATGTGATATATTCTCTTTAAAAGTAAACGATTTTTATCGACTCAAATAATGATGACACATTTTCAGCCATAGATTTTAAAATACAATTTATTATCCAAATAATGGCGGACTGTGTCATCGGTCGATTTTGGCAGCGGTTAGTACCACCACCACTATTTTCTTTCCCCACTTACCCAAAACTCTACAAATCTGCTCTCAACCTTGAATCGTCAGCAATCGAACGATCAGGGTTTACGCAATACTCTACCAAGTCAAATTTGACAATCATGAACATCAAAATAACATCTCACCACTAAAAGATTTATTGACCTCCCTCTTCAAAAGCCCTAATAGCCTAGAATGAATGTTGTGTGTTTGCCATCAAATATTTTGAGTAAAAATGGAACAAAAATTTAGATACTAAAATAATTTTACAAAATATGAGTAGGCAATTATCATTAAACCATTAATTGGGTGGGAAAAGGGCAGTTACCTGCTCTTTAATTTATTAAAGTTCTCCATCATTGGAACAAGAACATGTGCAAACTCGTTTAACAATTTTAAGCATCAATAAAACGTTTATTTCACATAAATAACATCGGTAATGTTAATTTTTTTATCCAAAGAAAAAAACGTCAGTAGGTTAAAAGGACCCACTCAAAAATTAGCTTTAAATCACAGCTCTTTAATCTTAATCATCAGTCAAATCATCACAATATCAACGGTCTAGTTGAGTCCGTATTTAAAAAAGTCTTTCCAAAACAGTACCGTCACATCACGTTCCGATAATAAACACATGATTAATCAACCATTTTATAAAGTCAAAAAGAAAAGACAGACCCTAATAATTCCGATCCGGGCCCCACCCACCCTTGACGGATCAAATTTGGCTTTTGGCTCTTTCTTTCAACGCACGATTTTCCAAAAATACTTTTGGAAAAAGTTTTCTAAAAAGTTAAAAAAAAATTGAATTGGACGGGTATTACGATGTAGAATTTATAAATTAATAAAATATCTCTTATATTTATTTATATAAAACAACCCTATAATAAAATCTTAAAAGTTAACAAAAAACACCCCAACCCAATGTCAAATAAGACAGCTGGCCACCACCGCCAGAGGGTGGTCAAGTTCACCGTATTGGCGCATAACCGGCTGTTTCTTGCCAGTCGTGCGCCGCTATGGCCTTTGCCGGCCAGATCCACGGTGGATCTGACCGTATTTGCCGTCAACGACGACAATAAACGGTCGTCACGGTGTCGTTGATGGTCACGATGACCGTTCGTTGGCCGTCTTATAAACTGTTACGGCAAAGATCTGGCCGTCAACGGCTAGATCTTTGGCCTTAGATCTGGCCTTTTCGGCCAGATCCAACCGTGATCTGACCGAAAAAGCTAGATCGGCGCACTACCGGGGATTCAGCGGTAGTGCGCCATTCTAACAGATTCCGGCCATTTTCAGGCAGTGGTGGCCAGAATCTGGTTAATATAAATTATTGGGGGTTTTTTGTAATTTTTAAAAATATTTAGGGGTTATTAATTAAATTATCAAATTTAAGGGGTTTAAAAAGTTGAATAATATTGAGAATAGTATTCCCAAAAATTAAGGCTTCGTTGGTTGGATTTGGGAATACTACTTTTAGTATTCCCAAAAAAGTTAAACAGTAAAATACCCAAAACTCACAATATATTCAATTATTCAACTTTTTTAAACCCCAAATTTGTTAATTCAATTAAATACCTAAATATTTTTAATGTTTTTGTTACGGTGACTCCAGCCACCCTCCGTGGTGGTGGCCGACTGTCGTATTGAGGGTGGATTGGGGGTTGTTTTGTGAACTTTTAATATTTTATTATAAGGGGTGTTTTGTAAAAAAACAAACATAGGGGTATTTTATCAATTTATAAATCCTACATCGTATACCCGCCAATTCAACTTTTTTTTACTTTTTTCAAAACTTTTCCCAAAAACACAAAATATGAACCAAAGGAGCCTAAAGTTTTTGGTATTTTACTGTTTAACTTTTTGGGAATACTAAAAGTAGTATTCGAATATTGAAACAAACGAAGCCGTGATTTCATATTTTCATATTTTCAATTACCATTAAAAAGTCATATAATTCTCGTCAAACAAGGCGTGGATGTTCAACTACCATTAAAAAATCCTATTCATACTACCAAACTACTATATAAAGAGTATTTTGTCAGAATATCAGGGTTTAAGATTTTTCCTATCGATCACCTTCAATATTACTCAGGCTTCGATTCATGTTGAGAGTGCTAGTGAGCTTCTTGAAGCTCAAGCTCATGTGTGGAATATTCATTCAACTATATAAATTGCATGTCTGTGAAATGCCCATTCACTAGGCATTCCAGAGATCATCCATAAACATGGCCAACCCATAACTCTTTCCCAAATAGTTTCCGCACTCGGTGTGAACCCAAATAAAGCCCGCATTCCCGTCTTATGCGTGTCTTAGTTCATACCGGCTTCTTTTCTCAACCAAAAGTCAGCAAAATTGATCACCAAGAAGATAAATATTTTCTCACACCCTTCTCGACTCCTCCTTAAGGAGCACCCTTCACTGCTGCACCATTTGTGTTCTTCTGCTTGATCCACTCGTGATTAATCCCTTTCAATCCTTGAGCGCTTGGTTCAAGAATGATGATTCCACACTGTTTGAAAAACTAATGGTAAAAAAATTGGGATTGTGTGGCTAAAACCTAAATTTAAAAAAACTTTTTATAATGGCATGGTAGTGACTCTCAACTGGTAGCAAGAGCTTTGATGAAGACCATAAAGAGTATGTTAAGGGTTGAAGCTCTCGTTGATGTGGTGGTGGCACTGGAACTATGGCCGAAACCATAGCCAGCTTTTCCGGAGATTCATTGCACTGTTTTTGATCTCCCTCATGTTGTTGATATTTAAAGGGGACTAAGAACTTGGCTTTTCATGGAGGAGACATGTTTAAGGCAATACCTTCAGCTGATGCAGTTTGCTCAAGGTAAACAACTATATGTAAATTTCCATTAATTTGACACTACAATACCAACGATGTCGTTTACCAGACCAAATATTTGTTATTCTTATTTGTGTCCAACATTCCTACCCTGCCAAATCAAATCAAATTAAATTGCTTTAATAGCAGAGAACTACACTCATAATTCATAGCATAACATTTTTAGTACTAGCTATGTCGATTTGCATTCAGATTACATGTTTTTAGCAGAGACTAACAGTGAACATATAAATTAATTATGGGAAATATACAGTGGATTCTGCATGACTGGGGGATAAAGAGAGCTTGAAGATATTAAAGAGGTGTAGAGAAGCGATTCATAGCAAAGAAATGGGAGGGAAGGTGATAATAATGATCTGGTCATGGGAATGGAAGATCAAAGTGAGGGGGCAATAGAGACACAACTGATTTGACATGACGATGAGTGTTTGTTCAACACCGGCAAAGAACGGAGCGTCGAAGAGTGGAAGAAGCTCTTCTTAGAAGCTGGTTTCACTCACTCTAAGATAAGTCCTATACTAGGTCTAAGGTCTCTCATTGAGCTTTACCCTTGATTTTTTTCTGCTAGTATTTATGTTTGTAATAAGTTCAATTCTAATTACCATGTTTCATGAATAGGAATGTATTCTATTAATTTTCATGGAATTGTTGTAGCACTGTGTATTACTGTTGTGTTATTTATCATTTGGTGCATGATTATACAAAATTATAATGGCTTTCAAAAGAATAGAATAAATTAAAAACGTATGTGTCTGCAATTGTCTGTCAAATCATCATATTAGAGCAAAGTATCACATATCCCACGCTGGAAGGGGAAGGGGGTCTTGGGTTTATAAGTGGGGAGTCCCTCGACCTAAGGTGCAGTAATTTACAAACACCCATGAGGTTCGCTCAAATTTCCAACAATACCTTTTTTGAACTTTTGATCAAAACTATTATATATAAGGTTGGTTTATGGGAAAAAAAAAAAAAAAAAAAAAAAAAGGAGTGATTTGGAATAATTTAATCCATATTGGTCACAATTAGAATGCTTTTATCTAGATTTAAACAGTCGCTTGCACAATAATTCACAATTGATCGATATCAATATACTTTAATACCGAGAATATCGACTATTAGATTGAAATTTTATAGAATGTTTGAATGAGAAAAAAAATCGCTGGCTGTGACTGCGAAAAAGCAAAAAGTTTGAATAGTATAATCAGGCCAACCGTCACATTGGCCATAAATGCACTCCAGCATCAATCTTAACACAATTTCTGTGGCTGCAGAATCCTCCCAGTTTTTCAATATCTCTTTCGTTTTCACTCTGAAGGAGAAAATTTGATACAGAAATAAAATATCTTTTGTTTTCAATTTTTGTCTTCGTTACTACAGAGACACGTTTTATTTGAGTCAAGAATTATTTGCTCCCGTATGTGTTAAAAATCTTTCCTTCTAGTTCCTGTAAATATTAAATAGGACTGAAGAAGAAGAAGGAGAGGGGAAAGAGATAGAGGCATGGCTGGTGAAAAAAGCAAGATATTGATAATTGGAGCAACTGGGCATCAATAAAATATTTAATACTACAATAAGGAATTATTCTTCGACAGTGGTCATGGCCACCTCTGGCCATCAATATTACTACTTGATCCAGCCCAGCAAAGCAATCTTACGTTGGGCCAAAGTCGGCTCAATGTTCATAAACCTCATGAATCTTACGACGACATAAGTTACTAAAAGAACACACTAATACAATGGATTGAAATAATTTTTCACTCGAGACAGTCTTGCTAACTCATTTTGTTGACATGGTGAGATTGTCTAAAAAACAATAACATGTATTGCCGGTTTTCAAAACCATTGACTGACGGTAATTATTGACGAATTATAGAGATTGATTATTATTGATGATCATTGTCAGGAACATTGATAAATGGAAAATTAGCACGTATGTGACATGATGATTATTTCAAAATGGTCTCACATCAGTGGAATGAAATGGCAGGGCATGACTATTTCATAAGTTTTTTCGGATTTAAATAGTTGGGCTGGATCTTAATTGCTCTGTCCACAGGTCCAGACCCAGAATGGGTTAGTGTTATATGGCCTAATTAACTCAGTCATATGGGCTGATTACATATATCCAATATATATACGCTCTCGCTTTAGCATTAATATCATTTTTTATTTTTTTTTTAAAAAAAAAAAAATTCTAATTTAATATTGAAAAGCTTGTTTATATTCATTTTCCTAAAAGAACAAAAAAAAAAAAAAAAAACCAAAATAACTCTAGTACTATCTTTTAAGATTATCAAAACCTTATGAAAAGTATAAAATTCTTTGATATATATATTCTTTTAAAATCATTAAGAAGATCTTATAGGTATATCATATATGAGATAAATCACTTTTATTTTTCTAAGAATAACATAACGAATTATGATACATCTGACATTTACACTTTTCTCTTTAAAATAGGTGTTTGAGTCAGCTGATGAGTGTTTGAACCAGTTTACATGTATCGACTAATTTTGATAGATGATTAGCACAACTCTCATCGTTATAATATCCGTCATTTGACAATCATACAGTAAGCATGGTTATTGATTTACAATAACTAGTACTAACAATGAAGCATTAATTAAATAAAGAAGTGCTTAAATCCAAAAGTGGGAGTAACATTAATAAAAAGCAAAAAACAAGATCCAAAGTTCGTGGGGTCTAAAGTAGAGACAGATAGACTTCAACAAAATGGGTACCAAAATCCAGTCTGGATGACAGGATGAGTGATCAAACCCAAAATAATAAAACAAACAATTAACATCATTATATATTAAAATAAAAAACCAATGTTTTATATATAATTCATTAATTACAAAGTTTCATATCATATGATAAATTATTATTTATTATGTCACATGATTAGTCTTCTAGCTGGCAAATCCACATGCATTTGATGTGGACAATGGCCCCATTAATCCTCCTAATCTTTTGTTTTTTAGCTTGAAAATCAATTCATCAGGTGTATCTAATTAGACTTGTTATTAATGTAGAGTTACTGACTTCCCCCCCCCCCCCCCCCCCCAAATAATAACTTGGAGCTTTGAAAAAGGAAGGTCATAAGTTTTTAGTAGTCAAAAGTTAAATTTTAATGGTTAAGATTGATTAGAATTTAAGTTAGGAGCCCCAGTTGCGCAAACTCTAATGTTTGATTGTCAGAAAATGATAGTGGTTGAGGGATTTTTGTGAGTATAATTAGGGAAGAAAATGATAGTGTGTGGGATTGCAACGATGCGAGAATAGGAAACAAAATATAAATTTGATAATAAATGATATTTTAAAGTCTGTAAGTAAAAAAGTGTCATTGAACCATTATTTAGGTGGAAAAAAGTCGTTTCTTTTGTTTTTTTTTTTGTTTTTTTTTGTTGAGTTTAGGTTTTGTTTTTTGTTTTTTTTTGTTTTTTTTTTTTTGGTTTCGTTAATCGGATGTGTTAGCGGGATTTTTGTGGGTTGTTGTTTTTGCGTGTTTTTGGGGTTCTGGACTTTTGTCTTGTTTATTGTTTTGTTAGGGTTTTTTTTGTGGGTGATTGATTTTTTGTTTGTTGTCGAAGGTTTTTTTTTTTTTTTTTACATTATTTGTGTGGAAAAAAAAGTCGTTTATTACGTCTTAATGTAATAACAAAATTTTTCAAACCTTATTATAAATCAATAAATATTTACCAAATTATCTTTAACGATTTATTTTAATATCTAAAATTTTATGGCATAGGTATTCTTGTATTTATATACCTAAAGATAAATTTTGTGATTTATCATACTTAAGAAGAATTAATGTCATTAACTCTAAATAAAAACCATTAATTAAAGGCTGCGTATATATTTTTAAAATTACTATTCTAGGTTAATGAAATCTGTTAATATAAAATCATTGACTAACTTTGTAAATAAAATTAAATTTTTTTATATTTTGTTTTTAAAAAAAAATTTTATGAAAATAAACAATTTCTATGCATTATTCGAAAACGAATTTAAAATCATAAAAAAAAAAAAAAAAACAACTTATTAAGATATCCAATACCTAAACTAAATACTACTAATTTTGGAACTCTATTATAAGATGATAGAAATTTCATTATTAAAAAGGACATATAATAAATTACATTTATTATGGCCATTATTGTAAGTGAGCATGAGTTATTATTTTCTCATAGACTTTAGTACATTAATAATTAATTTAATTAATTTTAGGGCATGCTAAAATTGCAAGAATGAGACAGTCACGAGAACAATTTAATTGAAAATCTTATTTGTTTGACATTTTAACTGGAACCAATGATGATTTCTTTGGACTTTCTTTTTCATTTATATATTTTTTTATTTCATAGGATCTTGAAAAAAGATTTTTATAATCTCAAAAAAAAAAAAAAAAAAAAAGAACCCATTTCATTTCCACAAATTGGGAATCATAATGCATGGTTTCCAACAATGTCTTAAATTTTGTAAAAATATTTCTATTTGTTTTAAAATATCTAAAATATTCAAAAAAAATCCCACAATTTCTTAATTAAAAAAAAAATCGATTGGAAAGGGTTTATTTTTAATTTGGAATTTAAAAATATAAAAGTAAATTTATAAAAGAAAAAGAGAGAAATAATAAATAAATAATAAGAAAGAATTTTATTTATAAATTAAATTATAATATATCTCTCTGGAATCTTGGGGTTGTGTTTGGGTATCTGTTGGCGTTTTTGTAGATCTCTAACAAAATTTATTTATTTTACAGTTGTCTCCTGTCCACGTGTGGCCCTACCTAGTCAAACCCCCCACTCTCCGATTTTCATGCTTTCCAATTCATCGCCATTTTTGAGCTGCCATTCCCTGTCTCTTGCACCATTACATTAACTACTCTCACTTTTTGTTTTGGTTTACACCCTTATAAGTAATAACTTAATAATTAAGTAAATAAATAAATTATTATTATTATTATTTAATCAAGACATTTGATATAAATTTTATCAAGATTATGTTTAAACACTTTAAATTCAAATATATTAATATTAGTATTAATACTTACAAATTTGGGTAAAACTATTTACATTAATAGATTAATTATAAAAGTAAATTAATAATGATTAAACATTAACTATTCTTTATCCTTGTAAGGGATTTTCGAAAGTAAGTGTAAAGTTCCTCATGATTTGATGATCATCAGCAACGGCTGTGATTACCAATGTTTGCTCTATAATAGATGCAAAAGTAGCGTAACATACTATAACTTTTCTTGTGTCGGATTACGGGGTCAAAGTCGACGAGGATTTACCATTTGACTGAGAGACTCCAAAATGACCAGTCGCCAATAAAGCGGCGATGAAAAGAGATTTTGTGTGTGGGAGCCACACAAAGTGTCACCGGCGAGTCCAGCTTTCGCAACTTGTGCCATCCTTTTCCCAAAACCACCCTTCTTACTCTTCTCGTGACATCAATTTCCGATTTTACCTTCTTATTTTTAATCTTTTATTTCTATTTTTTTTTGGAATAGTAATAATAAATAAATAAATTATTTTCATCCAATTTCGATTATTATTTTAACAAACTCTTCATGTTGGAGAAGCTAAAATATTTTGTATTTTACTGTCTCACCTCCTTCAGTTAGTGAAAATAATAAAAAGTTCAGTAAGGCAATTTGCATATTAAAAAAATGTTAATAAATTATTAAAATTTATTTTTTAAAATGATCCTATATTTACCAAATTGTTTTCACTATTATTTTAAAACTTGTAACCTTTTTTTTTTTTTTTTTTTGTTTGGAGTGTCCGAATCAATTTTGTACAACTAAATTAATCTCCACGATCTTGAAATTAAAGATCAATAATAATAAACTTAAAACCTGTATACATTAAAGAGTTCTATAACAAAACACCTGAGCATCTACAAGTGGTTTAAAACAAAAACTCGAAACTTAACATAAAAAAATATTGTTATAATTACACTTAAGTGAAATTCCTTTGGTAAATACCAGTAGGTTTAAAAAATTAATTATAATTCTTATGAACATTAACAGTTTATAAACAATTTAAAAGATGGAACAGGATTTTTCCCAAAAATTAATTTTTTTTTTAAATTTTTTTTTAACAAGGGGTAGTTTTAGGCTTTTACAAAAGTGGTACCTAAATATCTGCAGGTGGGTGGTTCTCTCTCTCTTTGTCTGAAAGTCGCTTTCTCTTTTTACAGTCTCATGCTCGTTCACCAGTTACCAGATTGAGTGCGAAACAACACAAAACCAGAACAAAACAAGACAATACCATACAAGATAACAACTCTTTGCATATAAACATAACATGTTTTTGCTTTCCTCAGACGACTTTCTTCCTCATTCCTTTCTTCTTCTGTCCTTTAGACCCCCTTAATTTATTTTCTCTCACTTCCCCCACCTCCATTTTTTCATTTATTTTTGATCCAATTCCTGTTTTAGTTACTACCCTTTGAGTTAAATCTACCATTCTTTCACTCATTTATCTAAAGAAGTTATTTTTCTTTACTTGCTTGGTTAAAGTTTTTGTTTTTCTGCTCTGAGTTTAGCTCAAAATTTCTTCTTTTGAGTTTGTATAAGCTGAGGTTTGAGTTTTAGTCATATTTAGTCATAGCTGAAACTTAAAAAAAATGATTCTTGAACGTTTTCATTTCTTGGTTTCATTCTCTGTTCTGGTTCTTGTTTTACAAATCAAGTTTTGTTCATGTTCCTACAACACACAACCCATGAATTGTACGGACACAACTAGGTTATGCACATCTTTTTTGGCGTACGAGATGAAGCCAAACCAGACACTAGCGGTGATCCAAAGCATGTTTGATGTGTTACCAGGGGATGTGACTGTGGAGGGGAATGGTAATGGTTACATTTTTGTGAAGAAAAATTGTTCTTGTTTGTCAACGACAAAGAATTATGTGTCCAACACAACATTTACAGTGAAATCCAATGGAGGGTATGTGTATGATGTGGTTGTAAATGCATATGATGGGCTTGGTTTCTTGAACGGTACTTCAAGGATGGCTAGAGTTGGGGAAGTGGTGTCGTTGAGGCTGTATTGTGGGTGTTCAAGTGCGTTGTGGAATTATTTGATGAGCTATGTGTTGAAAGAGGGGGATACTTTGCAGTCTTTGGCTAGCCGGTTTGGAATTAGTATGGATAGTATTGAGCAAGCGAATGGGATTGGGAATCCTAATAATGTTACTGTTGGTAATGTGTACTACATTCCATTGAATTCAGGTTAGTATATTGATCCTAGTCTTTTTGCTATTTTTACCCTTTTTTGATATAGTTTTATGGTTCTGTGTGGTAGGGGAGGTTTGAATTTTGGGTTAGATTATGGAGGATCAGATTAGTGAGGGTGACTGTTGGCAAATTTAAGATGATATTGGTATAATTTAGATGAATTATATGATTTGCACTATAATATACTTTTTAAATCAAGCAAAGTTAGTGGTCGATGTCCTTAATTTATAATTTTGTGGATTGCTGATTCTAGTAGATGGAGCTGGTTTATAAGCATATTGCTATTGAGTTCTGTTCGGAAGCTTGGTCATGGCTTCAGGATTTGCTTTGAGAGTGAGTTTGGATTGTTCATTTAGTTGGAAATCAATTGGAAATGAAAATATTTAGAATGCTTATGAGAGAGTTTGAGGCCAAGATTATGCATCCAAACTGGACCTGTACCTTAATAAGTCTTTAGCGTGAAAGTATAGAAAAGGCAGAACATTTAACAACTTTGATCAACGAGTGAAAAAATGTTGTCTTACAAACTTCTTCATGTAGATAAATTTCGAAAAGTTAGGGTCTTTCCAAAGTGTAGGCACGAAATAGAAGGCTGAGTTGAGCATGAATATGGCAGACCATTCACATTAGGCTGAATGTTGAAGCAAAATCCTGTTGTTTTATGCAATCGACTTTCGTTGCTAGTACCATTAAACATTCTATGTTAACAAAAGTGTATAAGAGTGAAGCCCTGGAATCTATTGTCGATACAGATTTTTCCGTTATCCTCGCAGAAGGAAAAGCAGAAAGAAAAGAAGAGAGCTTGAAAACTAGGTTCAAGTTTATAATGTATATTGTTTGTATTCTTCTTCTTATTGGCTCTGCAAATTAAATTAAACATTTCCAGGTATGCTTATGTGGTATGTCACTGTTCCTAGCAGTGTCTTATATTTCAATTTATTTTATTTTGTAGTTCCTGGCGAGCCTTATCCTGTGGAGAATGATAGTCCTCCTGCTCCAGTTCCAGCACCATCTGCTGATACCTTTGAAGGTATGAATTGATAAACATTAATTCAAGAAAGGATGGAAATTTGAGGGAAATGAATAATTTGTTTCTAATAGTGTCTATGCTCAAAAGCTGAAGTTATTAATTGGATTTAGTAGAGATGAAATGAGATTGAGAGCTGCCAAATTTAGTTAAACCTTTACCTATGTGGTTTAAATGTATTTGGAACATTTTAAGCTAAAATGTTATCTAGATCTCTATGACTAAGTATGTATTGCTTATCTATGAGCTGTTGAGAAATATAATGACTCATTGACTATGTATTTGCAGCTATTGAAGTTGATCATAAGGATCACGTGCCATATGGATGGATTGTTGGGGGTTTGGGGGCTGGACTTGCTTTAATTGTATTGAGCATAGTTGGCTGTATTTGCTTAAGGTCTTCAAGCTGCTTTACTGAAGGCCGAGGAAATTCTGCTAAAGATCGCAGTGGCAAGAGTTCCCAAAAGTTTCACATTCTTCGGAAGCCTAGTTTCTGTTGTGCTTCAGGAAGGTATGTCGGCAGCAAGTCTGGGGACAACAAGCAGACTACTGCTGAAGCTAGCCACCCTCCAGTTACCATCCCCAAAGGTATTTACAGTTCAAATTGTTGATTACTCTCAAGTTAAATTTTGATCCTCACATTTCATCTCATGATTTTTTTCATTTTCATTTAGGCCTTGTTTAATAGAGTTAAGTTACTAACAGAGTTAAGTTACTTAAATCAGAACACAATAATATTTGTTTGGTGTACATGACTCGGTTGCCTATTGAAACATCATATGGAAAATTCATTTACTTATTTGTTTTATTCTCATTATTTAATTTCATCTACTAAATTTATGAATTTTTGCAATGTTAACGATATCAGGGGCTTCAACTGTTTCTCTTTTCCTTCATCAATCAATATGGTTATATCTTTTTCAGTTTTGAGCTTAGCATCCTTGGCTTGATATTCTAATCTCACTTCTTGCAGCTCTTGGCACTGACGTATTTGACATGGAGAAGCCGGTAGTTTTCACATATGATGATATTCTTTTCTCAACTGATGGGTTCTCTGATTCAAATCTTCTTGGACATGGAACATATGGTTCTGTGTACTATGGCAACCTTCGTAACCAGGTTCTTACTTCTTAGTACTTGACATCTTTTTCAAATTACAGTTCCTGTTTAGGAAAAGTATATTTTCGTCATTGCACAACTAGTAATGTGGATTTTTATACTTTCAGGAAGTTGCTATCAAAAGGATGACTGCTACAAAAACTAAAGAATTCATGGCTGAGATGAAAATCCTGTGCAAAGTTCATCATACTAATCTGGTAAAGCTCTTTGTGATTTCAATGATGACCAATTTGTATGAAATGTGAAGCTTGTTATTCTCAGAGGTTCAAAGAATTGACTCCTATCTTGATTAAAATTTTTGAAGGTAGAATTGATTGGCTATGCAGCTACAGATGATGAGCTCTTTCTTATTTATGAATATGCCCAAAAGGGTTCACTCAAAAGCCATTTACATGATCCTCAGAACAAAGGTAAGATTAATTGAATATATTTGTGTTGGTTCTGGTTGATTTTGGTGTCAGATTTTGCTTGACATGATTTGAGTAATCCCTTTATTGATATAAGACTCACAATGAGTGAAAATCAAAGTGACCCTAACCTTTTTTCACGTGTTTGTGTGTGTTTTCTGAAAAGATGTTATGCCTAACCTTTTTCAAGGTTGGCCACATCTTGTACTGCTTGCTGCAATAATAGGTTTCATGATACTTATGAGTGCAAATGTTTAATTTACTTGAAGGTCATACATCATTATCTTGGATCATGAGGTTACAGATTGCACTTGATGCTGCTAGAGGTCTTGAATACATCCATGAACACACTAAAACCCATTACGTCCATCGAGATATTAAGACAAGCAACATCTTACTTGATGATGCTTTCAGAGCAAAGGTTCTAGCTCATTACATCTAGTTGATTTTTTCATTTTTCAGGGCTTAGTATATATGATTGTATCTCACTGATGATAGTTTATTTCTTGCATGTAGATTTCAGATTTTGGGTTGTCAAAACTTGTTGGAAAAACAACTGATGGAGAAGCCTCAGCAACCAAAGTTGTTGGTACATTTGGTTATTTGGCACCAGAGTAAGTGATAATACTTTTAATTGGCTACTTACATGTCCTTGACAAGTACTTCAGCTTTTCCAACTGTTCTGCTATGGTATTTGCAGATACTTGAGTGATGGCCTGGCCACTTCCAAAAGTGATGTGTATGCATTTGGTGTTGTTCTTTTTGAGATCATATCGGGGAAGGAAGCCATCATACGAACTGAAGGCATGGTGACAAAAAATCACGAGAGACGGTCATTAGCATCTGTTGTAAGTATAGTTATTGCATATTCTGAAAACTTATTTCAATATGTGGATAAACATAGAACTTATGAGAAAGGCGTCTTCCTAGAAACCAATTTGACCAAGCTGTATACTCTGGTCTTGTGCATAAAGTTAAAATTGTCTGTATGGACATCTTTTTCACTTTTCCTTTTTGTAAATCCTTTTTCCAACTAATACAAGTATATATTTTTAAAGGAACATGGCCTTTTTGATTAATACAAGTACATATATATTTTTTTCTTTAAAAAAAAAAAAAAAAAAATTTGGAAGAAACAATTTCAGAAGACAAAACACTTCAGATAGTCAGCACAAGAGGCATTTCCATTTCAGCAGATGGTTGACAGTTAGATGGGAGCTTACGTAAAACTACATCCGAACTTGGAAACTTATGTTGTATTATCAATAAACATTGAACCAAATACTTATGGAAAAATAAACGTTTCATCAGATATGTTGGCAACTGTCTTCTGTGGATGTGTTTCATTTATTATTTGTGATACTACATTATGATTTCTATTGCAACTCTTTACTTAAGCAAACAGCAATATTGATGCTATTTGACTCACTGAATTCCGTTGACGTTTGTTAAATTGCAGATGTTATCAGCACTTAGGAACTCACCTGACTCAATGAGCATGTCAAGCTTGAAAGATTACATCGACCCTAATTTGATGGATTTGTATCCCCATGATTGTGTATTCAAGGTAAATTTATTCACCTTTTGATCTCTTGGGGTCTAAGATAATTGAGATTGTTATAAAAACATGCAGTTGTTCATAGTCCTCACCTAATGACGTGTCGGTAGAAAACCGATAAAGCTGACATCCAAATTAGATTGAAACCTTAAACAAAACAAAAATGATTGTCCTTGTACTGTAAATGACAAGAGAAGTAGGAGCATGATATAGCCTTTGAATAGACAGGTTAAGTCTGGAATTGCATGTACAAGTTAAGTCTAGTGACTCACCTCTTTGTTTCTTCTTGGAATATTTCTTGTTTAGGTGGCCATGCTTGCGAAGCAATGCGTTGATGAGGATTCTATCCTTCGTCCGGACATGAAGCAAGTCGTAATTTCTCTGTCACAGATCCTCTTGTCCTCTGTGGAGTGGGAAGCAACCCTTGCTGGGAACAGCCAAGTTTTTAGTGGCCTTGTCCAAGGAAGATAATAATGGAGGCAATATATTCTCTCCCACCCCTTTAATATCCTCATTTTTTCTTTCTTTCTTTCTTTCTTTACCCCACTTGTTCCTTTTTCCATCTTTATAGCTATGTGTGTATAGTAGAACTGATTTAAAGTGGCTATGTAGTGGTGTTAATAGGTTCTTACAAATTCTTTTTCTTGTTTTTTGTTATCCCTCTTGTTTCAGTCTTAATTGATGTATCTCATTGAAGTTTCATTTGTGTGGGAAAATTTTGGTGTAATGCAAATCATATAATTCGTTAAAAGGTATTCTTAACGTGTGTCTTAACATGTTGTAAAATTTTGATTATTTATTCACAGTTTTTATACAAATTTAAAATTTCTTTAATCTGTGTCATTTTCATGGTCTCAAGAGGCTGGAAAGAGAATGCTAATCCACTGTACTAGAGGAAGCAAAGTTATGCTAAAGCAATCTCTCATGATTCAGCACTTTAATCTTAAAATCTTTGCTTTAATTAAAATAACATCAGGGTGTCAGTGAATTATTGGGAGAGCTTTTCTCCGTTCATTTTAATCTTTAATCTCTCAATTAATGTTGCCAGCTTGTTGCCTTGCCGCCTTGGGAAACTCAAAGATTGGACATTTGAAGTGACAAGTTGTGTAGCAGGTTCTGTTGATCCACCAATCCATCAACAGGAATGCAGTGCAGTTTGTTTGGTGGATAGAAACAGAGAATTTAATGCTAACATTGTCTTGTGTACAGTGACTACAGTCAACTAATGCAGGGAACTCATAAGATTTAACTGAACTCGAGTAATGTACTTATAACAGTAACAAGAGAGCGTGCTGCTCTTGCTCAATCATTTGGGGTGGTCAAACGAAAAGGAATTACAAACTACCTTGACCATCAAAATTGCCAACAAAGAACAGATTAAACTTTGAATACATTGTTACAGATGTCACGTGACCTTGCTTCAAGGTTCAGGCGGTTTGGATTTCTGAAGATTATTGCTGAGTTCCCTTCTGACATGGTTGCAACTATGAACAAGAAGCTAGAGATTCCATTGCATGAAGCTTGTTGTCAAGAGAAAGCCAAGGACGTTGTATAGCTACAAGACTTATGTGAAAATGGAAGTGCATTTTTCACGGCCGGCAGGAAAGGGGCATCTTGATGTGGTGAAGCTTATGTTGAGTTGGTCTTGGCGGATGAACTTTCAAGAAGATAGGGTTGATTTAACTGCTCTTCATGTTGCCAAAAAAATGGGAGACAAAGCTAATAGTAAATTTCACTCTTAATCTGGAACAAATGATGGAGCTGATCAATGTGTTTGTTGAACTCATTTTCGTGGGTTATATAGGGCAGAAATTCTTCAGAACATATCGCAGGTGTGGTCTAATTTTGTTCCAAGAGAATGGATTCTCTCCATTGCACTGTGCTTGAATCAGATAGCAGTTAGAGACAACAACAAATATGGAGATGAATAACAGAATAATATAAATCAAATCATACGAAGAGACATGTTAAATTTGTAAATTCAATGTGTTCATGAATAAAATTACATTCAACCCTTCTCTTGTCACAGAATATGTACTTAATGGTTGGTTGGTTTTGAGGGTGTCATTGATAGTTTTTCAAACTAGGAGAGTGACTAGATATTAACCATTTCTTTAAAATATTCTCACCCACCCCAAAATTTAGAAGTTTGTAACGTGGTTGAAATAACACTTATCTTCTCTCAACCACAAAGTTTAAATCCTAAAGTTTTTAATGAAGACTTGCTTAAAGCTTCCATTTTAAGGGTCCATATACATAAATATTTAGTATTACAGAGTTACACACGACCTTGCTTCAAGGTATGGAAGTGCATTTTTCATAGCCAGCAGAAAGGGACATCTTGATGTGGTGGTGAAGCTAATGCTTTTAGTCAGTCTTGGTGGATCGATCCATGTTGCCACAAAAATTTAGCCAGAGTTGTTTTTTTTCAATTCCTCTCATTTCTATAAATGCGATGATCTTGAGGCATATTATGTCAACAACCCGAATCTCATTAAGATTATACATATCTTTATGTCTTGCAAAGCATAGAAGAGTTGATATATAATCAACGATTAATAAATGGGGGAAAGGGCTTACCCACCCACCCCATGATTCAAAAAGTTTGTAACAAAGTTGATGGGGGGAAAGGGCTTCACCTTCATTACTTGCAAAGTGAAGCTAAAATGCGGCGCGGAGGATTGGATGATCTTCTGGCATGGAGCACAGCCAAGTTGTCTATCAGCAAAACATCACCTTTCTGCCAAGGAATGACAACACATTCCTCTTCCATGATTTTCAGACAATCATAGATTATATCAGCTGGCAATGGTTTGCCATCCCCGAAAGTCACCTCGACAGGATCGTTTTGCTCGCCTTTCCACCCAATATAAGCAGGTACCATGCTGTTGAACCAGATTTTGCGTTGCCTTAATTTGTCATACTTAATAGCTGGAATTGGACCAATGGTTGTTTTCACTCCACCATCCTTCATCCACTCCAATTTCGTTCCCAACTTGGCAGCCCTGTTGAAACATGTTTCTATGAGTCTTGATAAATCAGCAAGCATCACATGTTTTAGTTAGATGATCTAAACACAAACCTTTCTTCAGCCAGGCTCTTGTCATCAGTCGAGAATGTAGATTTCCAGCTGCGGCCGATTGGTGATGAAAGATCATCATTCTCTCCTAGCACCAATGTATAAATCAATCCATGTTGCTCTAAATGTTCAACAAATTCAGGGTACCTCTGTTTCATCCTTTCATAGACAATATGGCTAAGAACTAAAGGAGTTTGTCCTCCGCTACTGGGCTCTATTTCACCGAAGAAGAACAACTTGGACGGAAACTCAGGAAGCTGTTGAATAAGTCCAGTGAGTCCAAAACAAAGACCGGAAAACTTCAATACCGACTTAAAAATAATAAATTTCTTTGTATGAATTCAAAGGATTAATGCTTTTTTAAGAGTAAAAACAAAATTCTAGAAGTTGTTCCTATGTAATTAAGTCAAACATTAAGAATTAACCACAAAAAGCACTTTTTACCATGGTTTTAAAATCCGGATTGGACTAGCCAGTTTCACTGAGAACCGGTCTCTAATCTTATCTAGTGAATGGCTGAAACGGGTTTTAGCCATTGGACAAGATTGACCTGGGACTGAATTGATGGAACAGTGTCAAATTGTTGGTTCAACCGTCGGGTTAGAGAATCGGTGACGTTAGTATGAAATTTATTAATTATTAGAGTTTTAAAATTTTATTACGTCATGCTAATGTCAATATAGTGTCATCGGGTCGGATCCCCCAACCTGGGGATCAGCATCGGGTCCAATTATAAAAACAGTGCTTTTTACCTTTTAATCACTTCTAAAGTAATAACATCAAAATCCTCAAATTGTAAACGCACTCTGAAGTCCCATGTGAAAAACCTTAACAAGTTCAACAATTAAAAAAACCTCAAAATTCTATTTTTAAATAACAAAACACACTAACCAACCCAATGACAGGAGCAAAGATTTTGATTTAGCACGGGCAAACTAAAAGAAAAATTTGAAATATAAAAAAAAATTAGTTTAAAAGTACGAAAAATTGATCATAAAATAAAAAAACTTGAGGCACTAGTTAAAACTTTAATTTTGAATAGACGAAGAATTTAGTCATTATGGATTAAAAAAAATTAATTTTAAAATTATAAACTGTATTGATTGTTTTTATTGATGTATTCTATATTCAATCATAAGAAAGAAAAGAAGAATCAAAGNCTAATCTTATCTAGTGAATGGCTGAAACGGGTTTTAGCCATTGGACAAGATTGACCTGGGACTGAATTGATGGAACAGTGTCAAATTGTTGGTTCAACCGTCGGGTTAGAGAATCGGTGACGTTAGTATGAAATTTATTAATTATTAGAGTTTTAAAATTTTATTACGTCATGCTAATGTCAATATAGTGTCATCGGGTCGGATCCCCCAACCTGGGGATCAGCATCGGGTCCAATTATAAAAACAGTGCTTTTTACCTTTTAATCACTTCTAAAGTAATAACATCAAAATCCTCAAATTGTAAACGCACTCTGAAGTCCCATGTGAAAAACCTTAACAAGTTCAACAATTAAAAAAACCTCAAAATTCTATTTTTAAATAACAAAACACACTAACCAACCCAATGACAGGAGCAAAGATTTTGATTTAGCACGGGCAAACTAAAAGAAAAATTTGAAATATAAAAAAAAATTAGTTTAAAAGTACGAAAAATTGATCATAAAATAAAAAACTTGAGGCACTAGTTAAAACTTTAATTTTGAATAGACGAAGAATTTAGTCATTATGGATAAAAAAAAATTAATTTTAAAATTATAAACTGTATTGATTGTTTTTATTGATGTATTCTATATTCAATCATAAGAAAGAAAAGAAGAATCAAAGCTTAAAATATGGGGCTTTTTTTACGAATACAAAATAGAATTGGATTAATAATTTTCCAGTGTCAGTGGGAGCATGAGTCCACCAGTCGGCCGTAGTGGCTCGGTCCCTGAACTAACCTGAGCCATTTCATGGTGAAACGGAATCTTCTGATGAAGCGGAGACTCATTGGCGGTAAAAACCCGACCAACAACGTTGGTCCGAGGAGCAGCACCACCCATGTATGGCAACTCCTCGTACCCAAAAGCCTCAACAAAGTCGTTGAAGTCCTTGGCTGTCTTAAAATCAAACCCTCTAAAAAGCACAGCTCCTGCTCTATGCAGTAGAGAATCAAGAAACTGTTTCTGGGTGGCAATGGTTTTGGTCAAAAGAGATAAAGAAAACGGAACATTTGTTGGGTTTGGAGAGAGAACTGAAGGGAAAGAAATGGAGTTGCAGTTTCTTTGATGCGGGATCTGGAGTTCTGTGAAAGCGTGGGTATAATGATCTTTCATTTTGATTTTGTTTTCTGTTTATTTGTTCAATGTTTTTGGAAATCAAGTTAGAAGTGTTGTGGGATTCCTGTGTTTGCAGTGGAGGGTGATATAGTGTGGATCATGTCGTTGAGTGTGACCTGGGCGGCAAATGCGTCCAGTTAAGGCGGATGGGAATGAAAAGGGTTGGACTAATCGAGGCTCAACAATGTTCGAGAGCATATCCCAAATTTGGAAATCCTTGTTTTTGAGTAGCATCATAAAGCAGGCGGTGAGAAACAAAAGCTGGGAATTACATTTTACACTCTGCTTCATGATAATTATCGATTTAATAATATTATGCATGCAGCCTTCCCAGAGATGATGATATGAAGAGAAACAGTCAAGCTAGTTAAGCAGCATTTTTATATTTAAGAATTATGGATCGGATTTTCAACAACATTTGGATTACATTAAGCTCAAAGTTTATGTCAAAATTTACGTAAAATTAAGGCATGTATCCAAGGATTTTGAAGGCAATTAATTGGTAATAAAGAATTGATTTCGCTTGAATAGTGTTACACATGACCTTCTTCAAGGTTCAGGCGGTTCGAATTGGTGAAGAATATTGTTGAGTTGCATCCTGACATCGTTGCAACTGTGAACAAGAAGCTCGAGATTCCATAACATGAAGCTTGTTGTCAAAAGAAAGCCGAGGGTTGTAATGCTGCTCTTGCAGACTAATCCATGTTTAGCTACAAGACGTGTATAAATATGGTAGTGCATTTTCCATAGCCTCCAGAAATTAAGGGCTTCTAGATGTAATGGTGAAGCTCATGCTGAGTCAGTCTTGGTGAGTGAACTTTAATTTGAAGAAGATGGGGTTGATTTAATTGCTCTTCATGTTGCCACAGAAACGGGAAACAAAGGTAAGACTGAATTTCACTCGTAATCTAGATCTGGAACAAATGGAGCTGGTCAATGTGTTTGTTGAACTCATTTTTGTGGGTTATGTTGCAGAAATTCTCCAGAACATATTACAGGTGTGGCCGAATTTTGGTCCAAACCCAACAAGAACGGAATTTCTCCATTGCACTGTGCTTCCGAGGGTTGACTTAGACTTTCACTCTGCAATAGAATTACAAAGGTGACATACCACATTGCTCTTGGTAGCCATGCCTGGAAAAGTTCCAACCCTTGAAGAACTCTTGTTGAGCTCTTTGCTTCATAAAAGTACCTAACAAAAGGGGGACAAACAGTGTGTCAACTTGCCATAACATTCAGTCAATATGACAACATCCTAATTATACAGGGCATACCACATACAGTGAATTTTGCAAAAGAAGACTACGCACAACCAGCAGTCAGTATTTCCCATCCATTCCAAAATTTTCTAACTCCTGCAAATAGTTGTACGACACTCATCTTTTCTTCAATGATCAAACTGCAATCAAATGACAAACATACTAAAAGCTTTACGAACAACTTATAGCACTGTAGCACTGCAACTAAATCAGGTAACGGACATGGAGTATTCTGAAACTCTAATATCAAATGACTGAATTTATAACTAATTTAAAGAGACTGTACTACGAAATTATCCAAACAACCCCAAAAGTTTTTACTATCATTTTCACCTACCTTGTTTATTTTTGTTGGTCTCAAAGTTCATGCCTTATGGTCTTATGGAGTCCAACTCTGTCTTCTCTAAACAGAATCTGAATACTGTTCAAATAATAGGAAAAATTCCACATGCAGAATTTCTGAATAAAATTCTATGACAGTCCATGCATATTAATTGACCTTTGTATTAATGTAAAAGTATGGGCTCATGGGTTCAATTTATGTGGGCTTTGAAGGCTTTCCATGGAGGCCTTACTTAAGATTTATGGTCCAAGGCTCCAATCTTCTACAAAGCCCAACCCAAATCCCCACTGGCCTAAATATGCAATGGATTGTATTCATTTCGGATCTTTTCCACGGACTTCAAATTTATCTTTATATTTTACAAGTTTATAGTCGTAACAAATGCCAAAGAAAATTAATATCTTTGAAACTGTAGTCAAATCCTTAAAATTAGGAGCATTTTTGGTTTATAGTTTATTACAATGTTTTTTAGAAGTTTCCATCTCATGTTTACCTATCTTTACCAGTAAAATTTTGGGAAGTAATGAGAAAATGGATCAAGCACCTTTGCTTCAGAACAGGACTCAAAACGGCCAACTGCTCTGAAAATTTTCAAACAGAGCAAATCATCTTCTCCTCTGGATGATCAAATTCTTTTGTTCTCCATCTTCAAGCAACGAAACATCAGCCAAGTAGACAACAATTTACATTCCTCTCAAATCTAATACACAACCTCTTTTAGGAGAACCTCGACGGTACGAGGAGAATTTTATTGAAATAAAAAATAAGGATAACACCTAGACAAGGGGGGACGTAATGAGCCTTACCCTTCAAAAGAATCTAAATACATGATATGAAATGCAAATGCATGAAATACATTAAGATAAGAAAAAACCTATAAAAAAAACTAGTCTTAAGAGGAACAACAATGTAACAAATCTCAAACATGAAATAAACGTTGTCTCGCTAACTAATTTTAATTAGTCAATTCAAACTTGAGCGCCCAAAGCATCCAACTAATAAAATAGCAAAATTGAAGATCAACATTAGCCAGTCTATGTCTGTCCGCGATAAAATTACTTCCTACCAAAATGGAGATAAGAGTTAAGCCATTTCACCCAAATAACCCAAGCAGGTTGAAACTTTATACTATGAGCACATGTTTAAACCGCAACTACCCAGGCATGACAGTTTGCTTTTTCTCTTGAAATTTCTTGTCCGGAGTTGAAACAACACAAAGAAGCTTTGTACTGAAAAACAAGGGAGCGAAAAAAAAAAAAAAAAAAAAAAAAAAAAAAAAGCTTGTCAAAAATCATAATCATCATGATATATACATACCTTCTATGATTGATGATGTTAAATTACTAAATATGATGCTCAAAAGTAAAAGCCACTTGCCTTGGTTTCGGGGCACACATTTGATGACACTGATTTTGCATATAGTACATACTTTGACATTTGGCTTCTTGAATAAGAAAGTTGTCAAGATTTCTGAGAATATCTGAAAATGGAAATGAAAGATATAGTAATAAGACCATTCACATTAAGGAGTTACCTGATCTTCCTATTTATTCCATTTTAAACAAATTTATGAATGCCTCCTGTCCCTTGAATAATCCAAGCAGTATTTTGACCAGAGAGTTTGTTCCTTTACCCTGCGCATTAAATAAACACTTGCCTGCAAAGAGATGAACTCAATTATTTCAGTGCAATAAGAAAATATATATCCTCAAGGCTCAAGTATAAATGGGATAGAATTAGCAGCTAATAGAACATATTTGGGATTTTAGCCTTACAATTGATACTGCATGCATCAAACTGTAAAAGTTCAAGACTACTTTCGTTTGTCAGACACAAAGACTCTCCAAGCAAGTCTTTATCATTAGGCATGGTATTTCTGCTGAGAAATGGTAACAGAGCATATGCATTTATCATTATAAAAAAAAAAAAAATCATTCAAAAAGCTCACACATCTAAGGATCTTTGTACCTGAATATTGAAGGTGAAGAACTAATTCAAAATTCCAACTATGAAAAAAGTAAAAAAAATGTTATTCTGAACCTTCCTCTGTTATCTAGCAGCTCACATTCTGCATGCCACAAACCAATAAAGCTAAGAGAGAGATATTTCCCTTTGAAATCAGTTGTATCTCTTTTAACATTAAATCGTTTTGCTTAATACGTACTCGAAATGATACAAAATATGAATGAAAGATACTTATTTTAACATTAAATCACTTTGTTTAATACACTTGAAATTGATAAAGCTTCAATAAAATTATTCACTTTAATCAATATTTTAAAAAGAAATTAAAACTGCTGCTTATTCGAGTTAACATTACAACATGCAAATCTATTAAGAAAATCTATCCATTTATTTGATTACTATTAAAAATTGTATATAAAGGAAACGAAATTACCCCTAGACGGATAACTAGGAAAAGTGTAGGAGAATTCAGACTCCACTTTCTACCCAAAATCGCCTGTTTCCTTTTCACAACGCTGTTGAAAACAATACATCCATGCATATTTCAGTTGTGGTTACCTTTCTTAACAATGCATCCAGGCATGACAATTTTCTTTTCTCTTGAAATTTGATGTATGGTCTACAAGTAGCAGAAGGGATTTTTTGCTGAAAAAATAAAATAAAAAGAATCTTGTTAAAAATATGATAATCAAAGATAAAAACACCTTCTGTGATGGATGTGAGTATACTATTAAACGTGATACTCAAAAATAAAAACCACTTGCCTTAGTTTAATGACACACATTTGATGAAACTGATACTAAACGTTTTGGTCCATCAAGGAAGTTGACAAGATTTTTGAGACTTCATAACATGGGAAGAAAATCTGAAACAGGAAATTAAATAAATAACTGTGCTCACTACGAAATCAGTTTGATTATTTCAATGTTATAACGTAGAAGTATGTAAATATACTTGATTTTATTACTTACTCTAGACCATAAATGCTAAAAATTAAATCGCATAAAAGCTAATAAAATAAATTTGGGATTTTATGTTTACACCTCAAACTATTAAATTCTTCAAAAGTGAAAACGTCCTTTGAGAAAATGCAAACCTGACAGAGAGCGTGTACGGTTTGTGCCAATTGACTGAAAAATACAAGCCAGTAGTTGCCTCTTTTTTCTTCAGCATGTTTTATCCACATCAGGATTTTCCATCAATTGATTCACCCTTTAAATATGACGCTTTCTTTGATTCATTCAAGAAAAAGGAAAAAGTAAATTTTTTAGAAATAAATAAATAAAAGCATCTTCTAAAAAGCATTCACATCCAAACCATTTTACCTTTATATTGAAGGTGGAAAACCAATCCAGAACTCCCAACTGTTATCAATGTGAAAATGTTATTCTGAAAGCTTCCTCTCTTCTCTGGCTGATCTCATTCTGGTATTCATCTTAAGTTTCTGTATGCCACAAATCAATAAAACTAAGAGTGAGATATTAAAAAACAATAATGATAAAATAAAATTGCTGCTTGTTCTAGATAATATCACAACATGCAATCAATTAAAAAATTGATCTATTACTTTGATTACTTAAAAAAGTACCATCTATTAAAAGGAAATAGAGAAGGGAAAGAAATTACCACTAGGAAGAATCGTCAGTGACAGAGTTGGATAATTTGACATGCTGGTGGGAGAATTCAACTTGCGGATTAAGAAATTTCGATGTGACGGATGCGAGAGATTTGGGCCCAATAGTCACCTCTTTCCTTTTCACAACGCTGTTGTAAAATAGGGCATTCATAAAGCTCCAATTTCTCTAGTGTGCTTGACTGAAGAAGACTGTTTGGTATTCCTTTCAATTGAGGACAGCAAATCATGTGCAAGAAACGCAGACATGGCATAATTGTAATATCTTTTTCATCATTCTTTGTAATCTCATAATCCCACTCTTCCCATTCCCACATGCCTGAAAATGTGAGAGATTTCAATTTGGGGAAGGCAATTGCAGATGTGTCATCACTCTTAATTCCTAAAATTTCATTACCCACACTTTTCACTTTTGTGATGTGCCTTATTTTGAGTACTTCAAGGGATGATAATTTCCCTAAAGAAGGCAAATGCTCAATGCTTACGCATCCATCAATACTTAACACCCTCAGATTAGTTAATGACACCATCCAATTGGGGAATAATGTGCTGCCTGCGTAGTTTTGAATATTTAATTTCTTTAAATTTGGAGGTGGCTGTAAGGCTTCAAGAATTACCTTATCATTCTCGTTTATTCTAGGCAGAACCAAGTACTCTGTTTTATGCTCAAAATATAAATCCAAAGAAAGGAGATTTTGGTTATTCTTAAGCCCCTCACCCACGTCTCTCAAATATCCCAACCCTTTTATACCCAGATAATGAAGATTGTTGAGGTGTTGTAAACAATCAAGACTACATGCTTTCGTATTATCACTCACTGCGAATTCTTGTAACGTCCGAAGACAAGTTAATTTCTCCATTCCTTTTGGCATGCACTCTAATCTTTCAATTCTATTGTTTATCAAATGTCTCAAGTTTATTAACTTTTCCATCTTTTGAGGTAGTTTCTTGAGATAGTGACATTCACTGATATCTAAGGTTTGTAAATTATATAATTCACATACTACTTCCGGTAATTCTGTCAATAGCAGATTATCACTTAAATTGAGGTATCTCAAATGTATCAGTTTTTTAATTCCTTTTAGAACTTCAGCAACTCTAGGATTAAATTGCATTCCAATACCTAGTGCCCTTAAATGTGTCAATTTAGCTAAAAACTTTGAAAAGTGGACATTAATTTCAAAAGAACCCCAGTGACAATCAATAAGGAGGCTACGTAACGTTTTTGACATTACAGATAGAGACAAGATTAGCTAATGAGACCTCTTCACCCGCCAACATTGCATGATGACCTTTCTCATTCTTAGTAAGAAATAGAGTAAAGTCATGTACTATATCATGCATCTTACATCCTATAATACTATTATCATCATAATTCTTTTTCAGATCTTGAAAGAGAGATCGTGCAACTAGAATATCAAAATACTCTTCACCAATTAATTCCATCTCCTTATTTTGTTCCAAATCAAGATAACCTTGAGCCATCCATAATTTTATTAATTCATCTTTATTTATATCATAATCTTTTTTAAAGATGGCACAATATGAAAAACATCTTTTCACCATAGATGGTAAATCATTATAACTAAGAAATAGAGTGGAAAATAAATCTTCTTCAAACTTTTCTAGTTTCCACATTTCACTATGTAAGACACTTTCCCACTCTTCTTTACCTTTTTTAAAACGCAAGAGACTCCCCATAATCTTTGCAGCAAGAGGTAAACCCTTGCATTTGCCTACAATTTTCCTACCAATTCCTTCTAATTCTTCACATTCATCAGGGGATTTCTTAGAGAACGCTAAACTTTTAAACAATGACCAACATGACTCTTCGTGCAATTCATTAATAGTGATGATGTCAATTGATTTCATCACTTGTGCAACTGTCTTATTGCGTGTGGTAATTAAAATTTTACTTTCATAATGACCATTCTTTAAACAATTGTACAATGGTACCCATTTATCATAATCTTCTGTCCATACATCATCTAGGACAAGAAGAAATTTTTTTCCCTCAATTGATTCACTAATAGACTCTAAGACAGATTGTAATGCACCTAAATTAAAGGGACGACGCGTTAGAGCCTCAATGATCTCCTTGGCTACCTTGAACTCGTCAAAAGGGTCTGATACACAGACCCACATTCTTTTTTCAAATTTGTTTACCACCTCATTATTGTTATAAGCAAGTTGAGCTAGAGTTGCTTTACCCATACCTCCCATGCCCACAATTGAGATGATATGGAGGCTTCTACCCTCACGACTAGTACTCTCACCCAACAATTTGCTTACTAAAGTAGCGTTCTCCTCATTTCTACCATAAATCTCAGAAACATCAACAAAGGAGGTAGTTGGGTCACGTTGAGGTTGTTCAGTACTTCTAATAGGTTGTTCAGTACTTCTAATAGTAAAACTATACCTATCTTTCTCTTTGGCAATAGCATCTAGTCTTTCGTTTATATCCTTAATCTCAAGACTAATTCTACGACGAAAATCGAGTTGACTGAAACTAAAGCAAGAGGAGTGAAGAATGAACGTACCCTCTTAGGAATAGAAGCATTTTCAACTGCCTTTGCAGCTTTCAATTTCAGAATTGAAGTCCTCCACTCATCCAACACGTCTTCCATGTCATAGGCTGCATCTTTGAGCTTATCTAACCAAAGTTTCACAGCCTTGTCCTTCACTTGCTTTTCTTCAGCATCCCTGAGCACGGCCTGGACGGTTCCTAGAGTGCTGGGTAGGCTCTCAACCGCTTTGCCAGCACCCGTCACAAGACTCACCCCACCTTTTATTTCTTGAACAGCAAAAGAAGTCAGCTGCTCCAAGACAATTGAAACAATTGCATCAGCCATTGGAAATAGTAACAAATCAAAGAGAAGAAATTGGGATATGAAGTTTGGTTGTTCTGTGAAAATTATCCGTATGCAATCCTGTCAAATTTTATAGTGTATGATTGATTGATTTTAACTTTACTGTGAATAATTTGGTTACAGCGGAGACCCACCACGTGAAAATCGATCAAAGTAAAAGTCTAAAAGATTGAAAAGAAAAGACAAAGAAAGCACTTGAGTTCAGCTTAGTGCTGGATCCAAAGGCGTTTCATATAAAGTGGAAATACATGATTTGCCAAAACGTGTTTCATGATTTGCCACTTGGGCATCAATAATTGACTTGCATAAAAGTAATTTCATCTTTGAACTTTCGTACTAAATAATTGATTTTCATTAAAAATTACATATTATAAATGATAGAATCCTTGTTAAAATTATTGATAAAAAAAAATATATTTGTAATATTGATCATTTATGTAATATTGATCATTATTTAATTTTCTTTTGAATTGCTTAATTACCTAAATGTATGATACTGGGTCTAAAAAGAAATCAAATAATCAACCCTAGATCAAGTGGATTGATAAACAATCAACAATGTATAAACAAAAAAAATAAAAGAAAATTGATAAAAGTATTTCTATACCTATGTATTTCGATTGAATTTCAAAACACCTATCCTTAAATAAATGCAAAATAATGTCTTTAAGACTAGTATTTACCTATTTGACCAATTTAATTAATTTATTTTTAAGTATGAAAAAGTAATTTATAATTTTTTTAATTATATAATTGATCAATTGTGTTTTCGTACGTGTAAATTTGAAGATGTTCTGTTTATTATTTTGTAAACGTATTAAAAAAAAAAAAATTAAAATTTGATTGACATTGGATATCTTATCATAGAAAGTTTTTACTTAAATACTAAGAATAATACTAATGGACAAAGCCAGAGCTCAATGGGCGCTGGACTTTTTTAATTTTGCTTTTAATTTTTTACGGTGCACCTTTCTTTGTAAATCTTTCATTTCTCGTATGTAAACTTTGTTATATATATTATTGTTGAAGTTTAAAAGGTTTTGCTAAGAGTATATACTGATTATACATGTTATTTATTTAATTTATGTGTTTAATGATAATATTACACGTTTTAAATAAAATCTTTGATTTTTCATCTAGTCTTATCTTAAGTGAAGTTGACATAATATTAAATCACTTCACTCTATATCTATTTTTCAAAATCATAAAAAAGAATATATAATTTGGGATGAAAAATTTCATAATTTCTTGTAATTTATACGCAATTTCGTGAATTTTGTGAAAGTGAAATTGATTGGTAGCTCTTCCTTATGATGTGAAACCAAATTACAATTTACAAGTTACACTAAAAACAATCGATAAATTAATTTATACACATGGTGGTAGTCCTGAGTAGAAAAATATCTGTATGTGTTAGATTTTCAAAAAATAATTGAACGGTGATGATGCATTGGAGTACAAATCCTGAGATAAATAATGAACATTATATATATATAGGTAGAGAAAATAAAGAAAACGGATAAAAGTAAATGCGACATAACTGTTTATGTCATTGACCTATATGGGTTACATCTATGGTAATAGTATAACAAAGATTTTTTATTATAAATAAAGAGAGTAGAATGATAGAACCTCCTTGGTAAATTTTCGGTGAGAGCAATAATTGGAGGAGCATAATGGACCCTCCACTTGAGAAAATTTTATACAAGTTTTAGCTTTAGTATTAATTGAGAAAGGCAGCTGTTAATGGGCCCTCGACTTTTGAAATTTTGCTTTAACTTTTTATACTATTAAAATTTAAAATTTAACCTTAAGAATAATATTTGTTGCTTTCTAATATATAATTTTGTTCTTAATTATTTATCTAAAAAAGATCAGGTATACTATTAGGCTCTTAGGTTTTAGTTTGTGTCTATTAAACTCTCATAGAACCATTCACAATAGTTTAATTAGGTATAAAACTATTTTATGTAGACGCAGTTTTATAGAAAAAACCAACTAAATAGCCAAGGAAACAGGGTAAAACAGGAGGGGATTTGTTTTTGACTGGCAGAAGGTGTTCCAAAAAAAGCTTATACTTTCTTTTCTAAGTTTCATGGAAGTAGCCACCAAATTCAATACAACAAATTGACTTGACTCGTGCTATAGACGCAATAAAATTTCCAATTTTGACTTTAGAATTTCATTTCTAAAAACAAAAACATCAAATTCATTAATAAACGACTTGACTCGTGACATAGACGCAACTTCATATTTTCTTCCTCCAATTCGGAAGCTTGTGAACTGTGATTTTATCATACAGTGATGGCAAGTGGACCAATTCAACTACCATCACCTACACGTAAACTGATTGAAACTGATAGAAACACTACGTGGCATCAAATAATTGGTGTTTTCATAAGTCTTACCACAAGTCAGTCATAAGTGAAGGTAGATCGTGCAGTATTGCATGGATCTAACTGTACCTAATCCTATACAATTGGAATTTAGTTATTATGATCATTAGACTAAAAAGAAATCAAATAATCAGCCCCTAGATCAAGTGGTTTGATGAACAATCAACAATATATATACAGAGAAAATAAGAAGAAAAATAATAAAAGTAGACGAGACAGAGCAATTTATGTGTTCACCCATTTGGACTACGTCCATAATAATGGTATAATAGAGATTTTTTACTAAAAATCAAAAGAATAAAATGATACAATCTCTTTGAAAAACTATTAGAAAATCTATCCTTAACAAAATTAAGCATATTATAAAATGAAAAAACTATTGAGTTTGCATTTCCTAGCAAACATAGGGATGATTAACTGAGAGATGATATGAAACAAAGAAAGTGATGCTAACATATACCTCATTCTATTTCAGCATTGTCCAAATATGATGAACAAGGGATGATTAATTTGCTTAAGTAACAAGAGATTCTTGGATATGATTTTCTTACCATAAACAGCCCAATTACTGAAGAAACAGAATTGATGAACTTTATTATAAATGACACATTTCACTGCTCAAATCACCCGAGGTTAAGTCATGAGAAAAATCAGATCAGTCCTTTGCAATCTGCATGGCTACTGTTACATGCCAGAGATATCTGTAACTTCCTTCTTCTACCAAATGGCAGATTTACAAGTTGAAGCCACACCATTATCGAAAAATTAAACTGTTGTTTTAAACTGCAAAAATACAATAGAGTACATAAAATGCAATCTCTCCTTATAACTAATAGCTCTTGGTGTTGGATTTAATTATGTGAATGGTATATGGAAGTAATTTATGAGGTGGTTACATTTAAAATTTAAATTAATGTAAAAAGTAAATAATAGATTTTAAAAGATAAAAAAAAATGAAAATGAAATCAGGTTGGCAGAATCGTCAGAATTAGGCATCAAAACTTGTGTTGATAACAGTTGAAAACATTTTTGAGACTAATTTTACATATAAAAAAAATACTAAAAAAAAAATAAAAAATAAAAAAAAATTTTATATTGTTATATAATATATTATTTCTTTACCAGGAAAAAGAAATTTAAATTGACTCGCTCAAAGATAAAATTACCCAAACAAAATGTTGAAGTTCCCAACCGACTCCCTAAACGCTTAACGAACTCTTTCTCCTTTCTTCTTGACAAGGGTTCCGCAAGTGTAGGGAATCGTGCAAGTAATATAATTTGAGTAAACGGATGTTGAACCCTAAAGAATTACTAGTTACCAAGTACCAAAATAAACTATCCTACTACTATTTGATTAACCAAAATTTCATAAGATTAAATAATTAAAACTAACATTCTAAAACTAAAACACTAACGAAAACAAATCACAAATCAAATAAAAAATTTGTTGTAAAAACAATAGGACTAAACCTAGGACATAGATTTCACACCAATTTACTCTTATATATTGACTTAATGCTAACAATGTTAAGCTTTTTCTCCAAGTCAAACTCCCTAGAATTTCAACAACTTTTTCTCTGAACATTACTATTAAGCCTTTATTAATACCCAAAATACTTTAAATGGATTTAAGTCTTAAGAAATCATTACGCTCTATGGAATTTACTAAATCCTCACAATCGCGATAACCTTTTCTAGCGTCCTCCGCTCAATCTATGGTTTTATTACATTAGACTAACTAGATTTTCATCTCTCAATCTCAACCTTATCCATTAAATCAATCACATCTCAGGCCTAAAGAATTGAGCATTAAAATCAAATAAAACTTAGAAAAGATACGCTTACACAATATTACAAAAATCCATCATAGATATTCTAATTGGCTACATCTATCTCTAAAACTTTATTTAGTTCATAGTTGGAATGAAAAAACACCCTTGTAAAAATAATAAACATGAGATAAAGAAAGAGTAAAAGAAACTTCTCTAATTGATGATCCAAAACTCCAAGAATGGATGCTTTAATCTTCCCATTGCGGCTCATCTTCTTTCTCTAGTTTCTCTTCTCTCTCTCCTTCCATCTCCTTTAAACTAATAAGACCTTTTTGTTATAGTGCTAGGGCTTGTGTGGTTGAAGAAAAAAAATTAATGCAGTTAAAACAAGTGAAATCTCAACCGGCGCCTTACATAGCCCATAAGCCCTCTCCATCGCTGCACGACATAATATATTCGCTGTGGCGATCGTTTCTTCCCCATCCAATGAGTCTGATTATTCAGAATTTGACAAAGTCATTAACACAAAAATTGTAACTCTCTGAATAAGCTTTCTAACTTCTAAGATTACCCAATTCCGACTTCTATGCTAAGTTTAATCATAACTGAAGCATGTTCATCCTTGAAGAAATTCTAGGATTCAAATCTCTTCTTAAGCATTATAACTTTCTTCGTTTCAACTTTGATTCTGTGTCTGTTTGTTCCTAGCCGTCACCAATTCGGGCGCCAACATTGTGCTTCATTCGAATATCATTTCTTGGCCTTAAAATATTCAAATCACAATGTGATCCCATAAAAGGTATTTATGAAATAA